TAGGCACAAATAAAATGTCACTTACTCTTCGGCTGGATAAAACTTTGAAAACTTTTGAATTTCTGTGACAAAGATTTCTCCACGCTTCCGCTGTTCCTGCTCGCGAGATTTTTCAGCTTGTAATTTTTGTTCTTCATCGTGATATAAGATCAGTGACATGTACTGCAAATTAAGTTAATATTTAGCATTTAGTTTGTGTATGCAAATGACATGTGAATGATGTTTTTAATTATTTATCACATTAAAATAGAGTGATTTAAGAATTATAGATAAATTTAGTTTGTGTCAAATCAACTTTGATGCTGTAAAGAATGCATTATCTTAACATACTTTAAAATTTAAAACTATATATTTATAACTCTTAAATTATTCTATTTTTTTTTACTGTATATAGTCAAACATAATTAAAGTGTATTAGCAACATACCTGTCTTTTAATCTTTTTTGTTAGACTATATTCATGATTGTTCCAAAACAAACTCAGTAGATGTGTATAAGATACTAGTTCTGGATCATATTCGATGTTGATGACCTCAGTATGATCTCCCCTACAAAGTAGAAGTAAAGAATGTCAGAAATGATTTTGTGAACCTTTCAAATTACATTATTATGATGACTGGATAATAGCAATAGGATATTAACATGTTCTTGTATGCTGGAGACTCCTTGATCCCACCAGCGTAGCCGACACAGGTTCTGATGACACCAGGCAGTACTCCAAAGAGAGAATCCCCCGCCCAGAAGCAGCCCATACCGAAAGTGGCAAGCTCGCCTTTGATCTCCTCCAGTTGTCCTGGCATTCTGCTGAACGGACAAATATTGTTACGTTCAAAGATGCTCGGGCACGTGAAGTGTGTGCCACATTGATACGATGAAATGGAGCAATTGTCCGCGAAAACGGTCCGGACTAAACATGGTAGCATAACGATGATCATGTGGTGTGATCGCAACATCTTTGACGATTTCGTCTGATACGCCGCCTACTTTCATGGACTCGACGCCACGCTCTGTAATGCTTCCACAGTGGCATGCGTTAAACCGGTATCGCGGACGAGCGATATCGGGTCGGGACAGAGACGAGCTCGCGCCAGAGTCGCCAAGAGGTGGCGGACGAGCGGGACGAGTGCGAGAGAGGGGGACGCGCACGTGCTGAATGCCTACGATTGCGCGAAAACGTCGGGAAGACAGTTTATCGTGTCGAGTGCACGTGCGAAGAATGAAGGTCAGAGAAGACCAATTTTCTTGTGCTCGACTGATTAAATTAATTGATTGATTCGCGGATCAAATAGTGAGTATCAATAATAATGTAGATCATAAGTTCTCCGATGTTGTGACTTGGATGTTTGATAAATAGGCCGCGACGAATTTTTTTTCGATATTATCACTCGTCTACATTCCATCTAATTTTCAAGGTCAATTTTAGCAATTTAAGATTAAGCCATTGAACTTAAGTAGCTTGTTATCGAATATATTATTGTACTTAATAAGAATATTTTTGTAAAAATATTAGCTTTCAAAGCAAAAATTAATATCTTTTGAATGAATTCGTTTGTATTGTATAAAATAATATATTAATATTATACTGCTCTGATTTTAATTGTTATATAAATTAATTTAATTATTACTTTGGCTCTTAGAAATTTTTTGCAAATGATATTTCCGAAAGATCAATATTTCTACAACTAATGACGTGTCAGCATTATATTATCGTGTTATGTAATTTTTTTGCCATATAATTGGCAAACTCAACAATAATATAACGATATCAATATTGTCATTAAGACTTCATAGTAGAGTTAAAGAAGTTAATTTAGAAAGAAGATCTTGCAATTAATAAAATTTTTGGTATAAATTATGAATTATTTTGTCAATTTTTCTCGTGTTATATTTATGAGACGTTTAAGTTAACAGCAAAAATTTAATGTGAATTTAAAAATTTGCGTGGAACAAGAGAGACGATTTTTCTTCGATAATTGTTTATCTTTACTTAGGGTGATCACTCATACTCTTTTTTTCCGAACGTGTACTCTTTATTCGGGCGTCCGGGGATTTGTACTTTTGGGACTTGGGGGCGAATGAGGGGAAGTTATTTTGAAAGTTATTGAGTCACTATGACATTGTTACACAGTAAATATATTAACACATAGTTAGGATAAATACATAATAAGACATTAAGACCGCTAAACCAATAAGTATCCAGCATAAAATCGCCATATTAATTTATATACATAAGATACTAATTAGACATTAGGTTTATTCGCTTTGCTTCTACTTTTTGCACTCAGTATCTTCGCTTTTTCTTTTATCTATCTCTTTTAAGTTTAGAAATTTTTTACATAGAGTTGTTTTGTTCGTGCTTTCTAAATGAATTTAAAAGAAATTTAAAAGATATTATAAAATAATATAGGTCTCAAATTAAACAATGTCTGTTTCTATTTTACTCTTCGTTTCCTTTATTTTTTTTTTTAGTGTTCGTCGGTCTTCGTGAAAAAATAGTAGTGCACTACTTTTATACTACTTTTTCATGATGGATGTCCTACGTCACGTGCACTGCATCTGATCACCCTACCTTTACTTAAATTGTTTATATACATCCGAGTTCTGACATTGTAAGCGCATGCTATGTACAACAGTAATGGATATTATTATTTATTCTTTTAAACGAGCTTCTTACTTAAGATTCTTCCAAATTTGATTTCAGATAGTGTCTAGATTCCAGTTGGTAAAATTATCATACTCAAGACCGGATACAATGCCCTTCTTTAATCTTCAAATTCTTCGCAAAGGACTTATTGACGAAGCTCAAGAGAATTCGAAACCACAATTAAGATTTTAAAATCTCAAAATGATTCAGAATTCCTTGTCTATGATTTACACGTATTATTCAAAATTTGTGATCCCGATACGTCCCTATCTTTCTTCATTTCATTGAGATTTTATCAACACGAAAGAGGAGGATTTGCGCTCCGGCTGAAGTACCGAGAAAATATTATTTCCTATTCGCAGAAGATTCGTGGAAATATAATGAAAAATACGTAAGTACTTCATATAAATTGATAAAATTTTATACAATAAAACAAATTCGTTAATTTGAACGTCATTTAAAAAATCCCCGCTTTGAAACATTCGAATGCAATTGTTTGAACCGTTTACATTTCACAAAAATCAGAAATATTTAGGAATAGAGCAGAATTTTGTTTTTAGAATTTCGTTTTACCTTAATTTTATCTAAACAATAAACTCGAATGCTCGTGATCGATCTGCTCAGGCGATGGTCGGACAGTTGTTGACGATCACAGGTTTATACACGTTGATGTTTCTTTCTGGAACGAATAATCATCCTTCGAGTAACTGGAGTAAAACCGACTGTCGTGTCTACAGACGGCATTCGGTTTTTATTCGAGTATGTATGTCTCTCCCCGCCACATCTCTCATCTTGACATGCTCCCACTTCGTAAATGCTAAGACATCTGTACGATTCGCTTATGCATTTCAATAGACCTGAATAGATTCATATTCTTCTCATTGTATGCCGGAACAAAACATTGACAAAAAATAATATATAACATCACATTTTTGAATAATATTAAAAGCTTGTCAACTTAGACTATAAATACACTATAGGTCTGTTCTTTTTATCTGAACTTTTGCACTAGTTCATCTTCTTCTTTTTTTCTTTCTAAAGAGAAAAGGAAGAAAAATGAATTGGTGCAAAAGTTCAGCCAAAAAGAACTGGCCTTATAACTCGGACTAGATTAAAAGCTAATTACAAAATGTATTACTTTACATATGAATAATATTCAAATTTTTAAGACTTTTCCAAACGTTATTATAATATTGTTCATTATTTTGGAGTTTGTAATCGGCAATTTATTTCATTTTATTAGTACGTTACGAAATATATGTACTTCAAAGTTATTCTAAATGAATTTTAGAAAGAAGATATGGAAGGAAGTCGTATCTTATTATCAATATCAAATATCTTGATACTATATAAGATAAGTTTTTATGTAAAGGAAGATAAGTTATATGAATTTTTTCAGTCTTACTTGACAATATAAAAATAATAACTGAAACATATTCAAATTTTATTATAATATTAGGTGTTGGAATTAATTCGTAGCGTTTTACAAGTGATGGGAAGTACTTTCATTAATGTATTTTTTAATGCTCATGTGAAATAAATAACATTCTTTCTTGTAAAACGCTACGAATTAATTCCAACACCTAATATAACAGGTTAAAATTATTACAATCGTAAATTCACAATTTTTTACATCACGAAATTTATTCGCTAATAATTAATATAAATTATAAAATACTTGTATAAATAATAAAAAATTAAATAATTTATAATAAATAAAAAATTATGGGATAACAATTTTATTGTGCTAGATAATGGTATTTGATGAATCTGTGGAAGCACATTCTTTCATAAAAAAAGAACATAAAAAAAGAAGTTCGTTGTCCTTATTATATATTATTCACTTAATTTAAATTATTTAAACCGTTTTCTCAATAAAAAAAGAAGTTGTAGTCACAGTTTGATGTAAATTTGTCATGTTCGAATTAGAATACGATTACCCATTGATGCTATGACCCCGTATATGTTGTATAATTACATTTGATTGAGGACGGCAGATTGTGATTTCTCACTGATTTCTGAGAAATATTCCGTGTTCTCTTTCGATTCTTCATATGTTATTATTTAAAAAGATAAAATTCTTATAAAAGTGAACAAATTAAAACTTAATATATAACAAATATATATTTTTAGACAATTAAAAAATTTGGACCTTGCGATTTGCTTTATCATATCGTCAAATATTAAAGAAAAAGCAGAATAGATAATCATTTGAAAGATCTGACTTGACATCAAATATTTTAGATGATATTGAAGTACAAATGTATATATACACATATATGACGGATTGATAAATTGTATATTTAATTAAATGTGACTATTTGAGCGATAAAGATCGAGAAATTATTAATACAAATATATATTAGATTCTATGTCTTTTATCATGCTGTTTAGTGAATCCTGCAGAGAGAACAGATTGTATAGATATATAGTTTTCTAATTAAATAACATGAATTCCGATACGATAAGATTATTATCAAATATCGAATTAAAGAAACAATTAGCTGTATTTATTAAATATAAATAATATATGAAATTTTTATAAAGAAAATATATTTAATTAAAAAATTCGCAATGCAAGTAATAATATTGCTAGTCATTGCCATTACTCGCATTGCGAAAGATTCGAGTAATGGCAATGACTGGCAATATTAAAGGATCGGGGAAACGCTATTAGCACTATTAGTGTCATTCTATCTTTGTTTTACGTTTAATAAACAATAAAGACAGAAATAGCGCTAATAACGCCTTCCTGAATGCACCATAAGATTATGAAATTATACAAAATATCTAGATTATCATTCGTTTGTGAGCGTATATTTTTAAGAAATAAAATGTATGAATGATTTAAATTTAATATAACACGCCGAGGAATAAATTTATTACATAAAAGATACAAATAATATCAAATAAAATTTAAGCATTTAACATCATGTCTTTATTTATTGCCCATTGTGGCTCTAATAAGGCTCAATAAAACGTAGTGATTGCATCAGAAAAGACAAGCGATGCACAGTTGATTAAATCAATTCTCAATTGGTCGACTGATGTAATCTTTCTCTTGTGGCCGCTAAGCCATCGTAGATGTTGGTGTCACTATCACTGTCATTATCAGTCACTCTGGAGTTCCTGACCCGTTATATATCTTGACCCAAGTGGTGTGCTATATTGATAATAGTAAAATGAATCATGGAAAGTGTGGCTAAACCAAATCACTTTGACGAATAATTATATGCTGTAATCGTCATATAATAGTATATATACATGTAAATTTCATCTTCGATATAAACACAATTGTCGTACGCGCGATAAAAATAGATTTCAGTAAAATCTGTGTGTGAATAATCATAATAAATAAATATTAAATAAACTCGCAAATGGTTTATCAGTTTTATACTTAACAGCTTGTTGCCTTTCTAATTCGCGCTTTCTAAATCACATCAAAGTACTAAAAAGTCTATATTTATATGATATATGTATAACAATTTTTCTTGGGAAAGCGTTAGAATTTTCAAATTGAGCTTATGAAAAATTAATAAATTATTTTTGCGGATTATATAAGATATGTTAAGTGTATAAAGTATAAAAGATAACGTACACAGTAATTTTATTTTTATATAATTTTACTATATTACAATACAATATAAACAGGTGATAGACGTCACATAAATTCATTTCAAATATAGCCATTGAAATCAACTTTCGCCATATTCTCAATCAAATCATGCATGAACAATCGCACGTGTGCTACGTACTGTTAATTGGAATAATCAGCGACGATTATTATTAGAAATTCATGATTAACGCAATTACAAGATGCGGAACGAGTTACGCGACAGTCATCGTAAGGCCGGAAGCCGCACAAAGTTTGGCAACGTTTATTATGCATCACGGAAGGAATGTATGAGCTTTTATTTGTACTATTTACTTCCTTCAAAGATCCCTTTTTGTATTTCTAATTTGGATGCGGTTTAAAATAAAAGTGTACAAAAAGTACAACCGTTCGGCAGAAGATTATTGTTTCACATACGGTCCCGTACACATGTGATTTCGAATAAAATTTTTTACCGTTTTGATTTACTAAATTTCTCCCTCATCACACGGGGATGCATAAACTTTATTAAAAAAAAAAAAGAAGTAAAGTTTACATATTTGTATCTTGAATATCTCCAACACGCATTATCGAATTAAAATCGAACGTCTCATGCGTTGCCAAAGACGCAACACAGGTGCAAAATTGTAAATCTCAGCAATATATAGCGATTGCTATGTATGGAACAAGGAATTCAAGTGAAGGATCTAAAGTTGTAATAGACAGATAAATATTACATATCAAAATTTACAAATAATATTTAAATCGATATAAAAAACAGTTTCTACTGAATCCTTACAGCCTAGAGTCTCATAAAAAATATTGGAAGATGTTTGATAGTCTTATACCTGTCTGCGAAGATACTAGAAAAATTCGAATCTATGTGGTAATATCTACGAATTGTGACACTCATCTCTTATCTTTCTAGTATAGTCTATACATTTCCTTTAATATAACAATAAATAAAATAAAAGTCTGTACAATACTTGAACGCTTTAGGCGCTGGATAATTGTAAACAATTTGAAAATGCAATTATATTTCTACAAATGTAAGTACACGTTCTAGTCATCGTAACAAGGTGTTCTTGATACCGAGCTCTTCAAGCGCTGCGATTCAATTCGTAACAATCGTAGAAAAACGTTTCGTCACGATTTAAGTACACGTTCGCGCGACATCAAAACTGACAGTTGTTTTGATTTTAACGCTGTCAGTACGCCTTTCCGCGGATATTATCTGTGATGTACATAATGTTCTACGAACTATATGTTCTACGAAAATATATATATATATATATATATATATCTAATAAAAAATATCACGACCCTCGGGCTCGGATTAAACGCGCAACTCGAACAATTATGTACAAGAACGTAGCGTTGAGTCTTCAAAAAAATACTGGAAGATAATCGCGGGAATATGTTCATGTGTAAAAGATTTCAATGAGCTCCGATGACATCGTAGACAACAGTGGGCAAGGACAAGGAAAACGAAATTATATAATTAGCGCGTTACATGACAGTGCAGCAGCTCTTCTCCGAGTGATTATCGCTCACGATCTCACTGGTGTTCCCAGTAAAGCGCTGGGTGTAATCGTCAGTGCTGAGATCGGAATTGGAGATGGACGAGACCGGCATCGGGATGCCGTTCCCGTTCGCGTCTACGGAGCCGCCGGATATATGCCGATTCTGCGCCCGTTTCTTCTTCAGATCCGACAAGGATTTCACGAAAACAACGGACACGTGTATGTTGATCTTGCCGTTGGTGTCGGCGTCCGTAGAGTAAATCGGCGACTGCTGTTGGCTGCCGACCAGTGGGTCAGATCCTGTCACTGCTGTCAGGCAAACACGTAAATCCAATGTGCTACTTCCTCGTCAAGCGTGCCGACTTTTCGATCGACGCGATCGCCACTTTTTCGCCCCTCCACCTCAACCCCACTTTCTATCCCTATGCGCACTGATTACAATTAAAAAAAAAAGGGGAGGAGGAAAAACCAAGGGTGTCAACTCACTGTCAACTATGAGTTTCATGCGCCAAGCCTAACATGCTTTCAGCAACAAGCGTTTCGGAAACATTGCACCAAGAAGGACCATCATATGCACATCTGTGTGTACGTATACAATATTGTTACTATGATTCAACGGTTGCGTCTTACGCAAGCAAAATCAATGAATACGAAAGAGAAAGAGATAGAGACAGAGAAAGAGGAAGAATATGACAAACACGGCTGTTACAAAGAATAAGAGCAGTGTTTAACGACTATGATATATCTGTACGTCTTCGCATTTTACTACAATGAAACTTCTTTTCAACATTTCGATCTACGAATGACTGATCTAACTATACTTGTTATCGATTGTAATATACTAGTGAATGAAATACGATATGATAATTTTATGTTTCATCTAGTAAGCATTGTTATCGACTGTTATCGTCTAGAAAAACGTAAACATAAAGATCCGTTGGTAATATGTCCATCAATGACTCGTCTTTGCTATATCTGATATGTTTTTCTTTTTATATACTTTTCGAATTGACTACTTCAATAATAAGAGAAGTGTGTTGTGATCCCTCATTACTTACTCCGTCACATAATACAATAGATGCGAAGTATTTACCGATTAGTAGAGAATTCGTTATCAATCTTTAATACGAATTGTGTAAAACTTGACGACAGGTATACATAAAATTCGTAGAGCTGCGATCAATCTTAGATCATGCTTTAGGCTCAAAATCCGCCCATTACATTACGGGCGTATTATTCGACAAAATATTTACCAAAAAGTCATCTAAATATATAGGGCAATTCTTAATTATATATTAATATCTTTTTCATGTTTTGTGTATCTCTCGATATGGCTTTTATGATCATAAGAGCTCATAATCAAGAATCGTCCCGTATATTTTCATTCTAGAAGAAACCTGCGCATGGTACAATATGTATAAAGAATGTAGAATAATATAAGTATCTGTCGATTCTACTACTTATTGTGCGTCCTACTAGCATAATATATACGGTTCTCTAAATCGATTAGGCTCCAATTTATGTAAGAAATTACAGAAACAATTCGACATACCTATAATAAATACCACAATCCGTTTGATTATTATTCTATCTTGCGTTCAGTGGCCGCTAAGCTTTGCTAAAACGGTCCACAAAGATACGCTAAGGAAGCCAGTACATACTCAGGCCTTACCAAAGAGATTCGATATGAATGTAAAGCAAAATGTGTACATGTATGTGTGCGTTTAACAGTTGAGAACAACTTCCAGAGAAAAAAATGTATCGTGTATGCGCAGCACACATAGATATACGTTTTACGTACACCGTGAGCAAATAACTTTTAACGTAGTGTGATATGTATGATACGGAAAAGATAACATAATTAAATGCATCGTATAGATCATAATAATTAAAGAAATAGAAAAGTGACGTAGAAAACTAACCTCGCAATTATTCAGGAACACGCAGTAGTGAAAAAAAAGAAAAAGCTGGTAAATAATCGACAGCTAACACAATGAATTTGACAGAATACATTTATGGGATTTTGCAATTAGCAGATTATGTAGTATATAATTTATATATATTTGATTCATTAGGATTATTCCATATTACTTTCTATTAATGTATATATTATATATATAAAATTTTATTTATTATATAAAAATATAAAGATGTGCTTTTGTCAGACTTAACAAGAAACTGTCCGCATACTCTCAGTATGATTATATAATCATTCTATATAATAATTTTAATTATCTTCTCTTCTTTCGCCACAATAATTTTCTACCATTTTTAATGAGTGATATGGCACATATGTATAGAATTTATATAAAATCTTCAAGTTTCATGCTCGCGTAAATTTTCCTATGTTTTTGGCACTATGATTAATAAATGGGTATGATGTACACGTATATGCGTACAAGTATAATGTGCAATTCTTGAATCACATGATCGAGGTACATATTTTTGGAAGTCTCTTCGCACAAAGCTACCATTTACCACAATAGTCTACCGAACCACAACCAATGCAAGCAAGAATACATTTGGAATGTACCTGAATCTTTATCAACATCTTCGTGAAGAAAAGACTCGTTGTCTTTTCCTTCGGGACCTTTTCGCACCGATGAAGTTAGCGCGCTGGAATCAGTCTCATGGTCCCCTACTTCCTGCGTACTGTTCTCCAACGGTGGTATATTAGTTGTAGGAGTACTAACATATGTCTAGAAAAAAATATCCCTATAAATTAATATCCCTTTCATCTTAAAAGACTAGATCTTATATATTTCTTTCTTATTAAAATATGTAAGATACACTTTCCTAAATTTTTATCAAGTACCTGTTGCGCTTGTAACCTCAAACGAGCTTCTTCCTGGGCATCTTTTTTCGTAGTAAGGACTTTGTCTCGAATAGATGTCCGACGTACGCTTTGTGTTCGTGTGTTAATACTTTGCGATCTGCGTACCCTACGTCCTTGCGCTTCACGAAGTCGTTTACTCTCTTGTTCTGTTTTCAATTCTACTATCCTCTCTCTAATTTCCGGATCTTCACATATATCTATAACGTATTAAAATATTAAAATACAGAGAAATTAAGCAATAATCGAAGATGGGGTAGGTCTTACCCGCGGGAGTTTCGTCGTGCTTATTCTTTGCATTTAAATCTGCTCCGTTTTGCACCAATAATTCAAGTACTTCCAACTGCAATAAAAAATTGCATGTAACTTAGAATGACATTTAAATGTCAAAATATTCAAAAAATTATAACCATTTCATAAAAAAGATTTGGGAAAACAGATTTACTATTTCAATCTTATATTTATAATAATCTCATTTGTATAGTTATATAAATAGAAAAATTTAAACTTACATGTCCCCAACACGCAGCTGCATGAACTGGCTGCCATTTGTCGTTGTCCTCCACATCTGTTGATACATGCTGATCAAGAAGAAATTCTACAACTCTTAAATACCCATTCGCCGCTGCTATATGAAGCTGTAATAAAAATTTCGGTATAGTAATATATAGTGAATATAATTTATTAATTTGTCTTCTTTCTCAGATCATATAAAACAGATCTATATAAAGACGTATACATACAGGCGTGGCACCTTGATGATCTTTGTATTCAAGATCGCCTCCTAAAGAAGCAATCTTTTGTAAATCGCGTAACATTTGAACCTCGGTTGAAGCTCTCGTTTCATCTATTAATTCTTGAGTGACTCCTCGCCTTGCCATCTCCCCTGCGTTAAAAATAATGTAAATACATCGTATTACTATTTGCACTGTCTTGTTATCAACAAAATACTATAAGGATAACGCATGATTTGATGTCAGTACGAATGATCAGTAATTTGCGAGTTTCGGGTTCAATCCCGGTCCTCATTCTACAAATTCCTCGATAAGAAATAAAGAGATCTAATTTGGTAGGAAAAATTAAGATCAATCAAAAATAGTATTAAATTGTGGATTAAAAAGAACAAGAATTTTAAGGATTAAACTGCTTTGAGCAAAATTAGTAAAAAGAATAAGAATATGAGAGCAGAAGGCACCTTAATTTTCACCATAATTTCGCTCAATTTTCTGGTGAGACATTACAAAATCATTAACAAAATATTATAATTTAATAATCTATTACCTTCGATACAATCCAACGTTTTCTCATCTTCACAAATGTCGTATGGCATGTTGCCATCTGCATTAACAGCTAATAAATTCGCACCTCTGGCAATGAGGTATTTGACTAAATGCAAGTGACCGCACGTAGCAGCAGCGTGTAACGGTGTCCATTTCTCACTATCTTCCGCATTCACGTTAGCACCAAATTCAATGAGTAGTTTCATCATTTCCTCATTATCATCTATGCAACACTGATGTAGTGCTGTCAAACCGTCTTCGTTCGTTGAATCAGGATTCACGCCCTTCTTCAAAAGTCTTCTTACTAGAAAGAGATAAATGTTGACAATGTGATAAGTTTCCAACATACAGATGTATATGTTCCAAACAATATGTGTACAAAATTTCTTACCTTCATCAATGTCATTCCTCGCTGCAGCTTCTAACAACATAACACTATCGCTAAAGTATATATGACGTTTATTACTCGTATGCCTAGTTTGATGTCGCAGCCATTCCTTCTCACGTTGCCTCCATACTTTTAACTGTTGAAGTCTACGATGACGTGCCAAGTGTAACCGTTCTTGCGTGGTCAGTCTTTCAACGTGTACCATCTCTGCCACTAACTCGGAGTGTTCCATTGTTAATGTTTGTAATTTTTACAGGTATATTTTTCTGTTCATGCAAAAGAAAAACAAGAAAACATCACGAAATGTTAATATAACAGTTAGCATTTATATATATAACGCTTTTTTTGTACGAATGTATCAAGAGAATAAAATAATTTGTAAGAAGAATAAACATATGTGTCATAAATACTTGTAAGTCTTTCTGACTTTATCAACTATAGCATACATTAAGCTTTTTGCTTAATTAACATAATATTAACATATTTGAGAGGATAATCATAAAATTAAAAAAATAATGCAATTCCAGTGATTTTATTTTTACTCTTACAAAGCCAAGGTCATTTTCAGATAATTAAAAATTTTTTATTAAAAACACTGAATGTCATTCTGATGTATTTGGGATTTTCATTTACTTCATAATAATACATTTTAATAATAGTTTAACTGATCTGAATTATATCTAGAGGGAAGAATGGCATATTTTATTGCAGATGTCCTCTCAAACCTATCAAGTATTTAAGTAAACGTACAATATTTGAACAAATGTTCGTGCCAAAAATGTTGCTAAAAAAAGCTTTTTATGAATAGTAATGAGCGATGATTTACTTTAAAACTGGCCCAACGTGTCCCCTTAAAACTCTTTAAAACTATATTTCTAAAAATACTTTCTAATAAGAAAAAGATTGATGACGCATTTACTTTGAGAAATTTGTATATAAAGATATATCTTGTAGACACAGAATAACAATGTAATATTTTCAAAAATAAGTTATTGAAATACTTCTATATATTTTTGCTTTGATAATGTAATGAAAATCTTTGTTAAGTATATACAGACTATATGTGTCTGTGACACATCCGCAATAAATTTTGTTCTTAATCTCAGATAATACATTACGTCATTAGATCAAGAATGTACATATTTAAACATTCTACAATCTCGGCATACATAGCAAGTTTTACATCTCAGAAACAGTAAAAAAAAAAACGGAAGCCTAGCTGCACATAAGTCTCAATAATGCCAGTTTCTATCAATGTAGATTAACTTTAATCTTGTTTCAACTTATTCTTCATTTTTTTCTAATTCTTAGAACTAGAGAGAAAAAGATAAAGAGTTAATTGCACCGATTAAACTACATTGGTAAAAACAGGCATAAACATCACATTTGTCCTTCATCAAAAGAAAGTCGTTACAGTCAAACGAAGAAGTAAATGTCAAAGTTGTTTACGATATAGAGATTAAAACGATGTAATTTTTTTCTTTTTTTTTTTTAGAAAATTATTAAGATAGAGGAGCACTTGATTCCCAATGCAAACTCCAATTCGAATCAATTGCGCGATTTCTAAGTCAATCTAACGAGATGAAAGGTGCGTAAGAGACGTATAGAAGGATACTTGCTGATCGTGAATCGAGCCTGGCGCCTGATTGCACGTTATTTCGCGCACAATCACCGTTGAAAGGTGGTCGGCAAAGCAATATCCCGTTTCGCCGGAATTCATCTCGCACCTTCCTCCTCGTGTCACCGCGTTCACGTAAGAAGGTGATCGGAAACACGGTAGAGCACGTCGTCGAGGCAGGATGGACTTGACTTCCTGCCAATTACATCGCTCGGCTTTCGGAGTATTTCGGAGGGCAACCGAAGCCGTTTGCGTGATCAAGGCCAGGACGCGCGGCGCGTATCGGCGTATCGCGCAGGATCTCACGGGAACGTGAGAAAAGCTCCGGGTAGAAAGGGGAGGGGAGAGGTGTTTTAATTGTCGCGGGGGACGGACACACGAGGATCAGCGCAATCGAACGATGCGCCGAAAATCGAGAGAGCAGTATAGAGCGTGTCTCTCTTATTCCTTATATATTTAAATCTCATTTTTACTTACGTATGTAAACGTGTGCCTCGACACGCGGTGGTTGCGGTGATTGCGGTGGTTGCGATGCGTATGATCCGCTTTCCTAATTCCTTTTCTCCCTTATTTCCTCGGCGATCTCGATTCGATCGTTGCAGCGGAATGTAACGAGCGACGACGGCGAGGACGAGGCGATCGGACCGAGGATTCGGACTCGGACTCGAACTCGGACGCACGGCGGCGACGGCGGGGCGATTCATTCACGTCGCGCTTCGCGCCTACCGCGGTGTAATACTGTAATCTACGACATAATCCGCGAGCGAGCGCGCGCGTTAACGCCGTCTCCAGTATCGCGGAACAAGATACTGTGATCACTGTGGCCGGTGGCCAGAAAATACGCTCCCCTCGCGCGCGTAACGCGTTCCCGTGCCTGCCAGCGCGTGCAGCCGCGGAAACGTCTACCTGTCGGTCGCCATTTTTAAACTACCTGCGAGAGATCGCGCCCGCGCCCGCGCACGCCTCGCCTCACCTGTTTCGGTCCTCGGCTAGTCTCGCCTGGCCTCGCCACGCCGCGCGCTGTCCTTCACCACCCTTCACCCGAGGAGGATCGAGCAACCACGAGCGACTGGACTCGCTGGACTCGCGATAGTCGCGGCTCGCTTTAACTCACTCGAATCGTCAACGAACGAACGAGATGAAGGCGCCTGGCGCATGCTCGCCAGTCGCCGGCGATCGGCGAACACCAACGCGCGTCGTGATGCCGATCGGCTCAATACTCACAGCAGTCACGGCTGCGCCACTTCCGCCTCGCCCGTGGAATAACGTTATTGCGTAACCGTTTTGCGTTATGCGCCAGCTGGTCGATAAGCGGGGAGTCCTCTCGATGCTCTCACATCGTTTGGAATTCTCGGTCCGGACGAACTGATCGACGAAGCGTGAGTCTGCCGCGCTCCGCTGATTTTCAAATTGGCTTAAATTCTTAGGCGCCGTACTTTGAGCCCGGATTACATTACTGATTACGCATTCGGCATTCGAGATTATTACGGATTATGAATTAGGACCATTTCGACAAATGTAGATCAACTTGAATCTCGAATTGATTTATTCTTTATCTTTTTCTGATTTTTAGAAATGGAAGAAGATAGGTAAAAAAATATTAACAAATTAAATTAAGAGATTAAAGTTAATTTACATTGGTAGAAATGGAGATTATATTAGAGATTAAAAATTCTACTAGTCAGATAATTTAAATTTAAATCCACTTCGTTCTGATTAATTAAATTCTAATCTTCAATTCGCAATCTCCTCGAATGCGTAATAATGTGACACAAGTTTTAAGTCGTTTTTTTTTTATTATTCACATACACTTTTTAATTACGTACGTATGACAAACGTTTTCCTATTACGAGAAATTATCACTGTCACAAGTGTATGATACCAACGTTGCAGAAATGTATTGTCATATCTACGTGCAGATAATGCGATAGTCCCTTTTTTTTCTCGCAACTACATTCCCATGTAAAACACAATGAATCAAATGGGATTTAAATAATATTAAAAACACTTAAATTCTTCATTAAATTTTTCATTACGTAATTTTAATTACTACAATAAATTTGGTTAGTATAACATGAAAAAATAAGAAAGTTTTTATCAATTAGTCATATATATCAACACATATCGAATGATTAATACGTATCAAATATTTCTCTTAGTGTAATTGGATTGAAATAAAAATTAAATTACACTGGTAGAAACGGGCATTAAACACACATTTTTACATCAATCTGAAGGACGTCTTTAATGCATTATGTCAGAATGTTAAGAATGACAATGCCGACTGAGAGACGCGCATTAATTACACGATTGTTTCGCGATTCAAGTTTTGCAATTGAAATTCATATTCAAAATCGAGGTGTATGTTAATAAAAAAAATAAAAAATACAAGTCTTTTTTTCTAGAAATTAAGATCGATTCGTACGTTTGAAGTCTGAAGACGTGCGCCCTCATTATCGATCATGCGCGTGCTCAGATGACTCATCCGCGGATTTACCGTCATTTCTGGCCGTGACATCGTACGATCACGCTCGATATTCGCTCTCATCGTTGTATACAAAAGTGATCTTGATCGCGGTCGCGAGCAGATAAGAACGAATCTTATCATTCGCGACGGTGACAGCAACGGCACGGTTTACCGTTTACCACCTGTTTCTATTCGCGGTACCACGTCACGCCGCGAACGACGACCTTGGACGTCGCCCCGCCGAGCTTGATCAACTTTGTCTAATTTCGTCGACCTGACGTCGTCAACATCCGGAATCCGGACATTCCGGACGTCCACGTGCATTGTTTACCGATATGGAAGAACGCGGTGGTGGCGCCGGCAGTGGAGCGCATCTCGCGGTTATTGCTGGCATTTTTGCGACCAGTGGTAGTCTTCTCGGCAAGCTCGCCGGTGGCGCTGATGCATCGTCATTGGTGAGTTGGCGGCCGATTCGAATCGTCGGTGAACAGAGCGAAATATGTAATTTTATGAGTCCGTGTCTTCTTTTTACTTTTCTTTTTTTTTGAGAGAGAGAGAGAGAGATTCGGAGGCGTTACGAGGCACTGAGTAGAGCGCAAAATTTTAATAGGCAGCACTATTATTGTAAATATAAAGTTCCATCTTTGATATTTTAAATGAATTAGCTAAAAGTGGTTTTCTGGAAATCTCTTCAAATTTAGCAATAGAGCGAGATTACATTATCTTATTAATCATATGTCTGTGGCAACTGCAGAGGCATCTTTTTCAAAATTAAAAATAATAAAGAATTATCTGGGAAATACAATGACACAGACGTGGTCATGCAATTTAGCTAAGCAAGAATTGGTGTACAGTTTCGATTATGAAATCAGTTTTGATAATCCTAACAATTGAAGACATTTAAATATCAAAGAATATTTTCATAAACTAAAGTAAAAAAATGTAATAGTATGTTGCAGTAAGCGTCAAATATATTATTACAAAAGAAAATATGAAATTTATTGCATTCGTATTCCTTGTTGTATTTCCTGTTATGCAAATTGGTGGAAATTCCTTTTTTTTTAATTGGCTAAATTTTGTAAATAAAAATCCGCAGTCTACGTGGGCAGTGTGATAAATTAGTGACTTTTTAAGAGGAGACTATGTTGAAAAATAAAACGAATTTTGAGATAAGTAATTTTGAGGTAAATCACTCGACGCTCAAAGCGATAAATATCTCAAAATTCGTTTTATTTTTCAAAATAATCTCCTCTTAAAAAACCACTCATTTATCAAACTGACCATGTAGGCTGCAGATTTTTATTTAAAGTTTCTATTTAGTTTTATTTAGTTTCTAGAAGAAAAATTATTTATTTAAATTTAGTTTCTAGAAGAAAAAATTAATGATTAAGAGCAAAATTTTTTGGTAATGCTAAATTAAAAAATGAAAAGTTAAGTTAAAACGTTAAAAAATAAATAAATTTTAACTTCATTTAGTTATATTTTAGATTCTTCACTTTTTAACTTTACATAATATATTATATTTTACCAGTAACACTTATAACTTTTAATTTAGTTCTTTAAAAGTTAACATCAGGGTTAGATAGTTGGCGTTATACAGATCCCTATTCGGATTATAATACATTTGTCTGAGATTTATTTTTCGAATTTAAATAAATTTTAAATATTTCATTTACGTTTAAAAATAAAGAGGTTTGAAAACGATTCGTCATGACTTAAAATCACGATTTTCTCGAAAAATACGCAGAAAAAATGCAATTTACTGCTTTACAAGCATTATTTTTTGGTGTTCTAGAATAATCGCGCAAAAGCTGATCAAAATCCGTAAAATATATATGTGAGTCTGTCCTTGTTAGTTAAAAAAGTTAACTTTTTAACTTAGTTTTTTAATTTAATTAAAAGAAAAATTAACTTGAAATCATGAAACAAAACAAATTTAACTTTTTTAATTACTTTTTTCATTAACTTAACTTTTAATTCAATTAATGTCGCTATTGATTAACTTTTATCTTAACTAAATTAAATTTTCAAAGCTGTTAATAGTTTTACTTAATTTTAATTTAACTAAAAAAAAATTAACTTATCCAACTGATTAAGGGATTTAGAATATTTTTAATTTATACAACGTGTTTATAGTAATGTATATCAATACGCTTTTTCTATGCAAAATATTATATAACAATAAGAATATTAAAAAAAAAATTCACCGAGAAATGTTTAACTCAAATGAATAAAGAAGGCCATATATTCTATCAAAATAGGTCTTAATTGATCGTTATATAAATATAACAATATGTTTGTTTAAACTTGAAGAAATTGTAAAATTCACATAAAAGTGTCACTAGGCAACAAGATCACTTTCACCAAATATCACTTTTTTCATTCATTTGTATTGATAATAATAAGAAATGTATTTTTATATACATAAAACTATTTTAACTGTTTTAACTGTATTTGTGTGTGTGTGTGTGTGTGTGTGTGTGTGTGTTGTAATAATAACTTTAATAACTTTGTATGCATTTTGAACAATATTTGAATAATATTTAAACAATATTTGAAATTACATGAAAAGGAAACAAGAAAAAATAAATACATCTAAATTGATAAATAAGTGAAAATGACGAGTGATTAAACAGTAAGAAATTCAAAATAGACCAAACGTTAGAAATTTAACATTAAAACTAATAATAAAAAATAAAATATAAAGATATAAAATATAATATTTACATATTTATTTTCTTTTTGCGGTAGTCATCGTTGTTTCTAAAAGGAGTACTTCTCATCTTTATGATCGTGTGCAACACCATAGGATGTACGTTTTTTGTCAAAGCGCTTCATGCTAGCGGATCTTCTTTGCCGATAACGGTCGCCAGTGCAGCTACGAACTATATTTGTTCGGTGAGTTGTTAAATCTTATAATTAATCTCGTAAATAATATTTTTATTAGATAACACGATTTAATGCGATCTCCCTCTCGTGAAATTTTAATCTCAGGTTAAATTCTTCAATGAACTTAAATTTGATTTAACGAAAATCCCATGGCATCAGTAATTATTTTGAAGTAATAAGTAAAGAAAAAAAGAAGCTTTTTGAAAATTAAACTTTAGGAGACTTTACACAAATGCCATGATTAATATAATATTACTTTTCAATTGAAGTTTCAAAGAATTTTATCCCAATTTTAATTTGCAATCATTATAATGACACATAATGAAATAAATAAAAAAGTTATATCATTGATCACTTTGCATAAAAAAAAAGTTCGATACTTTAAATTTGAAACCTTGAAAGAGATACAATAATTTTTATTTATAAAACCGTAAATCAATGATATAATAATAATATTCTTAAATTAAATTTTAATAGAATTCTATTTCAATGAAATTTTAATTCGTGATTTATAAAAATAATGAAATTGAAAATTGGAAAGTTACCATAACAAGTCTTTTTAAAGAAAAAGTCTCCTTTAAATTGAAAAATCCATCATCAATGAAATTAAGGTCGCGACAGGACGATCATCCATCGTGTTTATCGCAGAAAGAAATGAGATCGCTGTGAAACATCTGGCAAGATATATTTTCGAGAAAGTTTTAACATTGGTAATGGAATAAAATGAAGTAGGGAAATAATTTGCCGAAGGACATTTGTCGGTAGCAATTATTTGTCTATAGACCGGTGGTCTGATATATTTCCGAGAGTCGGTTCGCAAAGAGTGAAAGTTGTTTCGCAAACTAGACGCAATTCCGCGAGTGTGTACAATGCGGTCATAGCAATTATATGCGCACAGGTATATGGCGATTGAACGAGAATTGTATGATATGATACACGCTATTGAAATGCAATCTCGATAGTAGTATATTACACACTGGGAAATGCACTGCGCCAGAATTATTAATAGAATAATAGAAATAATGACTTTGTGTGGTATTTCGCGAATATTTCTATTCTTTCCTTTTCTGAACGTGAAATTATTAGCAAGATTTTGTCTCATTAGTTTATTAAGTAAAAATGATCAGAGATGTAGAAATATAATTGTTTGACACGTCACGACAGTATTCTTTTGTAATTCTCCGTGAAAATTGATTTAATTCGTTCGCGCGATAGTTATAAGTAAAACGACATGTGTATATATATCGATTACGTCGGCGTGAAATTAAGTATTTATGAGATTAAGTTTGGGTTTGCGAGGATATACATAGATGCGCTTTAAACTTAAGAACGTCATCAATTGAACCTCAAGAAATAAAAATGCAATTATATCCATAGTTATATCTATAGTTTGTCCTATATATTACCTTATATATGAAACACGTGGCTTGCTGATCACATTGATCTCCAATATTTTATATTTCTTTCGTAGATAATTTTTAAGTGCGAAAACAACGGAAGACTTTTTTGTACGATGAATCTATAATATTCAGTGCAATAATAATAATAAAAAAATTTGGCCAAAATTGAGAAAATGAGAAATATACGTATATTAAATATGAAATATATTTTTATAACATTTTCAATATTTTTTATAATTTATATCTGCCATGTTTTTTACACTTTTTTTTCATTTATCCTTGCGAAAGTTGAAATTTAAGTGTATTATTTCAAGCACAGTTTAATTATGAATTTTCATAATTTAATTGTGAAAATGTTAAAAATCCCGATCATATCGTTATGAAATGCTAATTTTATAAATATCCTTCTCGAAGGCGTTCGTAGGCTACATCGTATTTGATGAATCCACTTCATTGACCTGGTGGTGCGGAACTTCCTTGGTACTTCTTGGCTTAATGTTGATCTGCAATGTTCCCGCTGAAAAAAGCGCATCCGCCATCGAAGAAAAATTGAAACATCAATAGCTGGCGATGGACGCTTTTATATTCTGAGCAAAGCGATTGCAGTGATGTCACAACGGTACGATTATTTCCATTTTTGTATTATTGACATCGACAGATATATTTATTATGTCTTTACGCCGGAAATACATTGTATTATTTATGAAAGATAAAAATGAATTTCAATGTATAAAATGAAGGTATTAAAGAGTAGGTAGATAGATTGTTATTTGTTACGGATGTTATTAAGTATTATATTTATATGTATGAAGCAGAGTTATATATTCTTATTGTAAATAAAATATTCTATGTTTCTATTTTTTTCTATATAGTAATTGTTTGTAATAAATAGCAATTATAATTTTGAAGTGTATTGACGTAATTGCCCGAACACACAAGATGACGTACAATGTGTATGTATACACGTAATGTATTATTAGATCGATCACCAAACGCAGCAGTGCGAAATTCACTCGGGAGAATAAAATAATCTATCAGGCTTAAAGAGAATTGTTTTGCATTCTCCTCCTGTTCTAAAATTATTTTAAAAACATCAATCAGTCTTGAAAATCTCGAGAATGAAACGCGACAATATGATAGATTATTATTTTTACAGTAGTATAAGAAAAATATTTTAGATTTCTTAAAATATTCGCTTTATAGGATCGACTTATTTTTATATTTCTTTATGCGAATTGGATAGATTTTATGCCGAGTTTAGAAAAATCCACGTCAAGCTGTATCTGTTTTAGCGAAGTGGATATTTATGTCTACAATAACGATGAGTGAAATGACGATGACGAGGAATGGACGACGAGGTGAATATTTCTCCTGTTCCTCCCTTAAATCTGCTAATATGATGCCTTTCCTCGTTCGAGCCGTCAAGTATAATGTTTCACATTGACGCATTAACGAGGTGAAATTAACGCGTAGAGCAAATTATACATCGTTATTATTACGTACGCCCGTGGTGGCGGTCTCGACGTCGATATAACGCGTAATGAAGACGGAGATGTATTTATGTCCCGGGATGTAAATATATTTACTACGAATATACGGCGAATGAATATACGGCAACTGATAGCGGGCTATAACCGGACGCTGGACCAATCGATCCCTGTTGACATTAATTCGTCCGCGGGTATCGAGATAGTTATCAGAATGATATCACACGCTCACATCAATTTCGACGCAAAATTGAGAGCCGTTGGCTTTTTCATGTGCAACATGGTCTCATTGTCGTGATTTCCAACATTCTCTTCGAAATTATGTTGGAACAAGTGAATATTGCGTTTTATCATCATTAGCAAACATAGGATAAATATCGAATAAATATCGGATAAAAGGGAACAAATATTGGTTTATATATCAAATAAAAGAATACGTTATTATGAATGGAAACGTTATTATTGTAATTGCAATTATATTAATATGAGGAAATTATAAAAGGAGAAATTATACATTATTATCTTATTATAATGGAAATGCTTGAAATATTTCTCGCTTTTGCTCGCTTTCAACGCCACCTCCTCGTTTTTTCAGGATGCACCACTAGCAGCGGGAAGAATGCATTTCGATAGGATATGCGAGCTCATTCAGGATTGCGTCGTACCCTATACAAGTATACACACCGATGTTCGACCACGACGCAAGCGTAGCCCAGTAGCCCGTTGTGCGAGTTCTACTACACTAGATTTCTCGTTTGTAGGGCAGGGTCGAGGGACGGGAGGGAAAGAAGGGGAGTTAGGGGGTGAGAACGGCCTTTATCGAGCGGCTTCTGCGCGAGCTCGCCCCAACGCTAACGCCGTCGTTCTCGACGTTTTCACCCCCAGGGGCGGATTACCCCCTCCGACACGTCGCCGGTAACTTCATGGAACGCGCGTAGCTGCTGTCTCCTAGTTTAGAAGACATCGTAACGAGTTTCAGCCCTTGTTGGTCAGACAAAGAAGTCGTTAATCTTCCAGTGAAGAAACTCTCTCATTTAAAACCTCCTTAAGTGGAGATCTACTTCTTAATTAAAGATTTCCGACTTACAATGAGATTGTAAATACTACCGTTTATCTAAGATCTGGTTAGATTCGGTAAAGATTGTGCTACTTTCATAAATTCCAGAAAATCCTCACGAGTCTCTCCGACATCAGACTCTCCGCTGAGATAAAGCCTCTTCATCTCGAGCTGCTAGGATCCGAACTGTCTCAATTCGGTCCTGCCGATCCCCACCGCGTTTCGCATGTTCTACCCCTTCCCGGTCCGTCGCGACAAATCTGTTACGAGATTTCCACCTTCATCCTCGCCCACCTCATGGCAATGAATTTGAACGGGACGCAGATTCCCGCGGACGGGGTGAGAACGACGACGTCGGGCATTCGCGGCGTCTGCGTCGACTCCTACATAAAAGAAAGAGAAAGGAGAAAGGGTGAGAAAGAGTGATATACGATTTTCCTTGCTTCTTGTTACGGCCGCGGATCTAGACGCTCGTATCTCCACCTTCGTATCCGGCGGGTGAGAATGAACTTTTTAAAAGAACGACCCGATATATTTCTTTCTCGCTACCAAAACATCGGGCTGATCTGGCCTGATGGGCCAGACGTTGTTCAGTCCACTACAATCGATCGCAATAGTGCTTCGAATACGAGAGCTCAAGGTGCGCGACCTCCGAGTGTGCAACTACTTCTCGTCCTGCGACGATTTGTCCCGTTTATCTATTACTTGTCTGATTCCGAAATCTGGTGTTCTCAGAAGGTGCCTCAGGTGTCAGGTGCGAAATCCTGTCTCAGGACGAGCTGTGCCTTGTCGGAACTGGCGAAACGCGCATTCGAGGCAAGCTGTTCGCGCGCGGTGATAGGATCTACCCCACTATTCTGCACGTTGCTCTAGCCGTGTTCCGCCATCCTCCCTCGTTCCTTCCTCGTCGTCGCAGTCCAGTTTCCCCCACTTTGCGTGCACCCCGCCTTTCTCTCTCTCTCTCTCTCTCTCTCTCTATCTCTTTTTTCCTTTCTCTTTTTCTCTACTCTTTTCTCACCCCTCACTGTTCGCCACTAGGAAAACCCCTGCGTCTGCTCTTCACACGTTTGCTCCTCGCCGAGGTTGGGGCAGTTTTCGTACGACGCGCCCTTCCGTCGAGTCGCTGAGAAAGAGAGAGAGAGAGAAAGAGTGGGGGAGGAATAAGAGAGGGAGATAGGAATGCACACAAATTGCGGTGCAATCTACTGCAATGGTGTGTGACAGACGAGGTTGAAAGTGTAACCGAACGATGGAATTAAAGAGGCGCGATCCGCCACGATCGTCCGCCTCGGGAATTCCTCCTCGTGGAAGCAGTTGAGCGAAGTGCAAATGCTTTCTCGTTCATACCACCTGATCTCGGAGATAGAGAGAGAGAGAGAGAGAGAGAGAGAGAGAGAGAGAGAGGGAGAGAGAGAGAGAGAGAGAGAGAGATGAGAGAACGTCCCGCGAGTGCAACGAGCTAATCCGCGATAACGCAGAGCAATTTCTCCCAAAGGGATTCTCCCCGGCATCTTTTTCTTGCGATATCAGTGTGGAACGTGAATTGTGCAGGTGCGTCTTGAATGCTTTTTTTCATCTTTTCTCTTTTCGGAGCTTTCCCTTTGGACAGATGCGTTCCTTAACCAAGTGTTCATTCATCGCGGGTAATGAAATTATTAATCTTCACAGCTGCTTTTTGCTTATTATGTACGTAAATAAGTATTCTAATATCGTCGTTCTCGCATTAAAGCATTCGTCTCGATCCTTTGAGAGAAATATTAGCGAGCTAGGTGCGAATTTGCTGCATCATTTATAATACGTACAGCTTTTAGCTTGATTACAGGCTAATTGCAATATGCGCTTTATACGAGATCAAAGATTGAGATCAAAGGAAATCCAACAGCTGATCTAGATATAATTGACGAGAGAATTTTATGATACGCGTCTCTATGATACGTTCCTATTTTAATGAATTAAATTTATGCAATTGATTTGCACGAGAAAAAAAGCTTCCCGTAAAACTTTTCGAATGACAATATCCGCCGATTGAACGGATATCATTGATTTTTGCACTTTTTTGTTAGATTTACTAGCCATACAAATCGGCTCGCAGTTTTATTTTAAGAGTAGGTCAACATCACAGGATGCGCTGCACTTTCGCATGCATTTGAATCTGAATGGCAAATTGATAATTTTTATGTAGTAGTAAAATAGCGGCATTCTCAGTTGCGAATATCTACAAATCTGGATAATATCGAATATCCTGAAGGTTATTCATATTTATGTTATGTGATTGTAATACTGTATGCTTCGCTCTATGAAATGGAGATACTCTCTTTAAAATAAATTACGTTTTATATATGTAGATTATTATTAAATCAAATTGATAACAGAATTTTATAGGCGTCGACTGTAATTACAATAAATCAAAATATGCATTTTTACATATTTATTGTACTTATTTATTTTTACATATTTATTATATCTATTTATTATGTAAATCTCTCTGTACTTACAAATTTATGAACCGAATGCCAATTAATACTAATATCACTGATGAAAGATTAAATAACGTAGACAAATAATGAAAAATTATTACTTTGTTCCGGTATTGCAATCACTTATTTATGGCTTCTCTGTATCACGATAAAGTGTTAAGCTACTATGATCAATTTATTTTTGAGATAAAAGTTTTAATGCGAATAAAATAATATTTTTGAAATAAAAATAATATTTCTTCAAACTTTTCAGTGTTCAATTTTCAAATATTAAATTAGCAACTGTTAATAGTTTTATGGTATCAATTCGAGAGTTTAAAAGAAGATAAAAACAATTGTGATATTTAAGATTATGTTATATTTTATATTTAAAAAAGAGCTGTTAAGTTTTAATATATATTACATTTAAAACAGAGCTATTGAGTTTTAATATATATTACATTTAAAAAAAAGCTGTTAGGTTTTAATAAAAATAAACATTTTTAAAACATGATTTTTTTCTAAAATTTATATATAGTTTCCAAAATTTTATTTTAAGAAATTCTTTAACATTCAAGTTCCTCCTGTACTTTTTAACTAAAACTGCTTATGTCCTAGTCATGCGCCTTTAAAAAACCTCATAAAATAGTGATAATTCATACTAACTCACTTACTAATTTTATGCGATATTAAATTACGAGGTAAAGAGTCGTAAGGAGTCCGTGAATTGTCGTTGCAATTAATATAACTTTCAGCTACATCAATCAACTTTTTTCTTGGCGGTCGACCAAATTAATTAATTCAAATAAGGAAAGCGAAATTTCTTCAACATCGTCGTACCGCAATTACATATTTTATTGCGTTCTACAATTTTCATCGAAAATAAACAATGGCGAGTAAACAAAACGTTTCACGTGTTTTACGCATTTAATGTCTCGCCTTGGCGAGCGAAATCAGAACGCATGCTGCATCGTAAAGTGTGTTTTGCCATTATGTAGCAAAATACGTCGTGTCAGCATCAAACCAATATATTGGGCTAGAATTTACATAAACGCATGCAGCCTTGTGCTTCTGTCATATCCGAGTGTGTGCAAGCAAAACACATCTGTTCCTATGCGCCACTTTGGCCAACGGAAACGCTATTTTTCTGCCAAGAAATATCTCGACTCGCTGTCCCTGACAGTGAACAGAATTTTCTCTGTCCGATCAATCGCACTATCTACTTGAATTAAATATTGTACGGAGAAATTTATTCGTTGAACTAAATTTCGGACACCATTATATATACACCTGGCTATATTACTGGCAAAGTGGGTTAACGTACTTCCAGGTCCTTGTAATCCATCTTATTGATCTTAAAGTAATCGATAAACTCGCGTTCTTTAAACCCCCGTCCCCTGTCCATTTTCTGAAACAATGCCAGCAGTTTTTAACAGGTATTTCGCTTGCCATTTATAATAACTCTTCGCGGATATCCGCTATTTCTATTCTACGATGACATAGCTGCTTTTGACGCATATAATTTAAAGGCGCGTCATTGTTCATTCGAGAAATCTCGGTTTGCCTGTTTTTAAGACGAGATCACGCGACATACGTCAGAAACGCGGCAACGACAATTTATCAATAACTTGTCCCACTTTCTTGAAAGAATAAGCGCACGTTTCCTCTTTCGAACGAGGCAATCGTGCCTCATGTATCGCTAATCGATACTCAAGACAAATTCCTTCTATCATTATTTTTTCGCTGCGCCAGCCACGTATATATCATCTTTGAGAGAATTTTTCAACCGATATTTTTTTTTTCTCTTGCAGGCCGTCACTATCGTAGCAGGTAACTTCTTAAAGACGGTTCTATTTTTCACACGACACATCGCTCTGTATTGAAAAGTTGTTCGTTCCCGCTCGCACGCCGAAGGTCTGCTTAAAACGCGGCCCCTTTCCGTTTTTCTCATTTCTGGCCGCCCGAGGCCAGACGAGAATGAATTCGCATGTAAACGAAATCCTCCCCGTTGGGACGACCATACGAGAGTTCGATGAAGAGGCCGCAAAAAGCAAGACGTGAATATAAATGCGCGCTCGCGCTTTGAGAATCAGAACGTACGTGCTTTCCTTTTCTGAAATGCAGTCTCACGTAGGCAGATGCAGCTTATCGAGAGGCACGATTGCAAAAGCGACAAGCGAGGCTTCCCAAATGCAAAAGAAAATTCAGAATAACGTCATGCATGATAATGTTAGCGAGCTGGAATAAATCACCAATGATTACGTGCTAGGATAATAAATTATCAAGGACAGATAAAAACAAAGAGAGAGAGAGAGAGAGAGAAACTGATAATACTGTGAATGCCGAAAGAGAAGATCGATCGAGTCGAGAGTCACATGATTCACGCAATTTCGCGCTGCGTACCGTCGATGATACGAGCGGATACGTGACGATTTGATAGACTCGATCGCGATACGTTGAGGATGTTGCTTGACAAATTGTATCTCCACCTTGCCGACGAGGATCGAATCGAATCGTCAAGAAATAAACTCAAGAGACTGAGGATGACTGTGGCCGAACGAAGACTTGTGCACGACTCGCGTTTTTAAATAACAGTAACATTTTTTTAAATAACAGTAAGAACACGCCCGTCATCGCGCCGGCATCATGGGGAATGGCATGAACAAGGTGAGAAATTGCTTTATCAAGAAAGTTTATACTTTCAGATCGATACTTGGGCTTTAGCTGAAAGAGAAGGAAACGAATGCATTTTTCATACCGATAGAAACGTAGATCAGGTTCAAGAAGTTCTCTTCTATTCAAGAATAGTCTCTAGAACGAAATTGTATAGGACGTCTCACTTCTCGCGAAACATATTAAATATTTATCACTTTGGATTTTTTTTTTGATGGATATAAATTCTAAAACGGGATCGAAACGTTTGATATTCAATTTGCATTTATTTAGCGAGTCTTGTGTAATTTATTCGATAATATTGCATTCTGTTTCCTGCATTTTCAGTTATTAATCTTTCTTATTATCTATTGATGAAATATTTGAGAGCTTTTATCGTGGAAACGCACGAGGCGTTTTAAAATATTCGTTTTTGCTTCTGTCGTTTCGACTACTCATCTCGTATCGTCTTCTTTAGCCTATTGATAGACAGCAATTAATTGGCCACTTCATACAAAAGATTTAACGAAAGTATCCAAGCGCCTAAAGAAACTTGTCTTAAAAATTTAATGATTCTGAACAAAATAAAATAAGAAATCAAAGGACACTGTGGAGATATTGATTCAATTAATTTTTTGTTCTATTAATAATTTCATTTAAAATCTTTCAAAGTGATTTTCTTTACAAAGAATTAATTATATGTTTGTTATCGCTCTGGGTTGCAAATACTATTAAACAATAGCCACCGGATTTTTGTTAAACGCATCTTTTTTTTCTCGGAGCAACAAGGTGTGAGAGTTTCTTTTTATAGAATGACTATAAGTTCCATTCTGATCTTGACTTCACGCCTTTATTACTTATTTGACAGTTTGTTTAAATGCGTTTCAATATAACGACTTATTAACATGTCGTAACTGCGAGCTTAACGACCGACATAATATGCTTGATAATAATAAAATTTTACGTCCGGTAACGGACGGCTCATAATCGCGAAACGGAAGTACGAGAAATAAACCTGACAGAAACGTTGCGGAGAGATGAAACTTCATTTACGCTAATCCCCTTTGATTACGATTTATAAAATACGATAGAACCATTAAATAAATGATGAGTCGATAATTTAACTTACACATTGCAACTTTTAATATTTCTACTTTAAATCACTTTATAGAATTTTATCTTACTTTAATATAAATTGTCTGCGTATTACTAAGCGTAATAGACCTCAATAATCCATTTCATTGAAGATATTGAATAGAGAATATTATATATAAGAACTTTATTTTAAAATAAAATTATATAATCGCAATTTTTAGACAATGACGCAATATAGAATTTTGTGAAACAATTGCGGTAAAACAAAAGAAAACGAATTAGCATAATATGTAATGTTTCTAATTCTCGGCAATCGTCTCAATTTAATTTTTTTCACTACAAAATGTTCAATTACTTCTATTATCTACATTAACAATAAATTAAATTATTTAAAACGAAATATAACCACGTAACATATTTTCTTCGAAACGTTTTGCTTGATAGTGTTCAAGTTTCTTTTATAATCTTACAGCATTTCCAAATGTATATATATTTTACACACAAACAACGTTTTATATTTCACGCTCATACATTTGATATACCGAGAAGTATATAGACCGTGCGATTATCTCGTTGCGATTATCTCATCTTAATCCACGATCGGTCGATGATCCACATTCTCCAGCGAACTCGATGTCACCTCCATTCGTGAAGCTCTCACATTCCGGAGATTATTTTGAAAAAAATCCCTGATAGAGTATGTCGATAATGTTCATTTTTTTCTTCCTTCTCCTTCTACATTTTTCCATTACGCATTTGATTTCGTATCGTTTATGAGAGTTCGATTGGTTTCGCGAATTGCGTTCCTCACAACTTCCGCGATCGTCATCGCGTTAATCGTCAACGGGACAATGTTGTTGGAAGTTGTAAAGGCAATATCCGTGAAATGCTGCGACGTCGTTGAAGTTTCCATTGTTAATTCCGACGTATGGTTTAGAGTATTCGCAAAGTCATTTCTGTCACTTTTGATGCCAATGGAAATAAATAGAATTCTTTACGGTAGACAATCCTTTCAATTCTCTTGGTGTTTTGCTTTCGAGCAACGTTTTGTATTTTTTTGATTATGCCATTTTCGACGTCTGCATTTCTTTTTTAGTTTATGGCGTACCACTGAAGATTCCATGATATTCTCGGCCACTTGTTTTAATATTCGATGTTTAATTCTTTCGATCTCGCTCGACTTCAAAACCACATCCTCGGTATAGTTCGATGGAGAATGAAGTTGGGACACCGGAAGTGATAACGTCAAGTTTGGAATGTTTCTCGGAGAACGTACGAAGAGGGTTTCGATGTCACTGAATGGATGATAGGTGGATCGCGATGGATTTCCCGATGTTATCTGCACGCCGCAGAGAATTGCGCAAACACACCAGACCAACAATACAAGCTGCACGACAGCTTGTTTAATATTATTTTTATTATTATTCGTTCTTTTCACGAATATGTTGCCCTCCTTTTTTCTACGTTTTACGTTTTTTCTCCTCTCTTTGTTCCTGATCGATCGATGGCGAGACTGCGATGTGGTCTCGTCGATTCGGTCGTTCTTTCTCATCTAAAATCAATGCACGCGGAGGAGCGGAGAAGAGAGCAGATTCAGCGATACAGTACGGGGGAGATGGGGGAGGGTAATCACCATGCGATAAAAAAGTTCGAATGAAATTAAATCGCGGGGGAACTGAGACTAACGACCTGCGTCGGGAAAGAATGGATGTTTTTGTAGTAGTCTATTGCGACGAGAAAATAAATGTCACACACACGAACGTTGTTGAAGAGATTGTCGTAACAGATTGCTTTTCTGGACGTCTTAATTTGCCTATCGCTCATCGCGTTAACTTCCCGAACTCATTTATATGGAAGAAAAGAAGACGATTCTTCGGTGTAAAATCGAACCGGCGATTAAAATTAAATCAATATCGATCGAACAATCAGTGGAAAGAGAAAAACGTTAGAGTTTAAACTAATGTATGCCTCCAGCTGTAGCTTAAACACTATTCTTCATTAAAATTCAATATTTGCAACAGTAAACTAATCTAAGATTACCACGCCGTTGACGGCCATCACAAATTCATCATGCAGGTTTGCTTTTTTTTCCTTTGGTCTGACCTGGATTTCGTCGTCTAATCTTAAGTAATCTTTCGTCAAATAGACGCCGAAAAAAGCTCGATATTTTAAATTAGGGCTGCCAAAAAGGGAAAGACAGATAAGAATATTTTAAGAATGACAGATAAAAATGACTTATTGTTAATTAAAGTCACGGTTGAGGAAGCGCGCTTTATAACGTTTTAAGTTAATTATGATTATGGAGTCCTTGATTATGGAGTATCTAATATTAAATATTAAGTATAATTAAGACTCGCCTCGAAATGTAATTTTCTCGCGCTTTCTTTTGCAGGTGCTTCCTGGTCTTTACGTAGGTAATTATCAGGATAGCAAGGACGCCGATCAGTTAGAGCGTTTTGAAATCACGCATATTCTGGCTATTCACGACACAGCTCGCCGTTTGCATTCCGTAAGTACAAATAATGTGCAGAGTACGTATTTTAGAATGAATAATCGAATAGCGGAAGGATAAATTAGAAATGTTTATATTCTCCGTAAAAATACAATTATACTACATTTCGATTGCGTTTCAGGACAAGCATTATCTATGCATATTGGCCGCCGACAGTCCTGATCAGAATTTGTCGCAATACTTTTCTCTGTGCAATGACTTTATTCATGCCGCCCGTCTTCGCGGCGGAAACGTTCTGATCCATTGGTAGATATACATTTATTGTTGCATCATATGCAGGATATTTCAAAATCGCTGGATTATTCTTTTTGATTAGAATTTTTTAATCGAAATTTTAAATTTTCTTTAATGAAAATACCGAATCTACTATTTTTTCTCTCAATTATCGATTAAAAAAGCAAATTTTTTAACGAGTGAAAAATGGCAACAAGAAAAAGATGTAAACTTTAAACACGAGGAAGGTACAAGTAACTTGGTCAAAGAAGCTGATTAGAAGAACATTCAGTGATTTTGAAAATATTGTATATATATTAAAAAATTCTGTAAAATTTGCGATTTATTAAAATAGAAAATAGAAAGCTGAATTTTTATGAATAAAACCTATTTTTTTAGTTTGGCAGGAATGTCGAGGAGCGTGACAGTAGCGGTGGCCTATATCATGAGCACCACCAGTCTATCTTGGAAAGAAGCGCTCAAAGTCGTTAGAGTCGGTCGTTCGATTGCAAATCCGAATGTTGGTTTTCAACAACAGCTCAAGGATTTCGAGTCTAGCCGTTTACAAGACGTAAGTAATAAACAAACAGAATGTTTCTTCAAATTTGTAACTATGAAAAGTTCAGACTGTACACACTGCCACTTCTTTTCTTTCTCTTTATCTATTCCTTTTGAAATAGATAAAGATGTAATGCTCTCTTTTTCCTTTAAACAGTTTTTCTTCTTTTTTCTGCAGAATTTTATTCTATCACAAAAATCTTCAAATCGTTCAATTGATGTTACTTTATATTGTTATCGTCAAATTAGATTTCTATTGTATTATATCTTGATATAGGAGCGTAATAGGTTGAAAGAACGATTCCCTAGCCTCGCTCTCACCGAGTCCGACGCTGAGGCCTGCAGATCCACCCTGAGGAATTACGAAACATTGGCTCTGGCGAAAGAGGTTTGCGAAGGTAAATGCGCCATGGGACGCACTTGTCCGACCGGACTTTGCCGTCAGGCAACTAAGAGGTAATTACATTGAAAATCTCAGTTGTAAAGCGATGTACACATCCTTATCCTGTCCAAGTATAATGTGACAAAAAGAGAATAACAAAAAGTTATTATACTAGACTAGAAAATGAAATCAAATGGAGAGGATGGAGAATGTCACGTAGAATAAATAATGTATCTAAATTACAGGACTCTGAGAAGGAAGTCATCCACCAGCAGTATCGGAAGCGTGTCATCCGGCAGGACACCTCCGCAAACACCACGGATGCTACCATCCGCGCCACCCTCACCGGCTTTGCACAGATCATCTAGCGTTATGTCCACATCGAGACCGAGGAGTGGACCGGCAGGATTGCATTCTTATACCGGAGGATCCGCTCCTCCTTCTAGGTAAATCTTTTCAGAAATTCTCGAAATTGTATTATTTTATTAAAGCGTTAAAACCTACAATTACAATTAGTATTTCAATTGTCTTATTTATATTTATAAAAATATGAGATATTGAGAAGAAAAATATATTTTTTTTACCAAGAGAAAGTAGATTATTTATTAAAGAAAAGAAAATAAACAGACGTGTTTGAACATTACTTGGATATCGCAAATTGAGACGTGTTTCTGGAGGACTAGAAAGGAAAATATTAAGTTAGGGCTGTTTTTCGGCTAAAATTCGCAAAAGTTCCGAGATGTACAAATTATATATCATATTAAAGAGTTACTTCAACGGAATCGAGCGTATCGCTTATTTTAGGGAAACATCGGAACCATAGAAGAAATCGTTAACAAAAATAGTAAATCTAAAAGTTAAGCAAAATATTGATATATCCCAAAAATTAAAACAACAGAAATTGTATTGTTAGTATTTAAATACATATAATTTGATAAACATATTCGTTATTCAAAGCTAAAATCAAACGGAAATCAAGCGAAAACCAAACGATTATCTTATTTTAGGGATTAGTTTATTTTAGGGAAACATCGGAACCATAGAAGAAATCGTTAACAAAAATAGTAAATCTAAAAGTTAAGCAAAATATTGATATATCCCAAAAATTAAAACAACAGAAACTGTATTGTTAGTAAGTAAAAAGGAAAAAGGGCTACGAGCCTAAAACATAAATTGACAAACTGTATAAATAGTTAAAGAATGAAATAAAACTATGTCATAAAATTAAAAACGTAAAATATAATTTGACAATCAGAAGGTGAACAAAACAAATTGTCACTATTGTTAGTATTTAAATACATATAATTTGATAAACATATTCGTTATTCAAAGCTAAAATCAAACGGAAATCAAGCGAAAACCAAACGATTATCTTATTTTAGGGATTAGTTTATTTTAGGGAAACATCGGAACCATAGAAGAAATCGTTAACAAAAATAGTAAATCTAAAAGTTAAGCAAAATATTGATATATCCCAAAAATTAAAACAACAGAAATTGCTTATTTTAGGGAAACATCGGAACCATAGAAGAAATCGTTAACAAAAATAGTAAATCTAAAAGTTAAGCAAAATATTGATATATCCCAAAAATTAAAACAACAGAAATTGTATTGTTAGTATTTAAATACATATAATTTGATAAACATATTCGTTATTCAAAGCTAAAATCAAACGGAAATCAAGCGAAAACCAAACGATTATCTTATTTTAGGGATTAGTTTATTTTAGGGAAACATCGGAACCATAGAAGAAATCGTTAACAAAAATAGTAAATCTAAAAGTTAAGCAAAATATTGATATATCCCAAAAATTAAAACAACAGAAACTGTATTGTTAGTAAGTAAAAAGGAAAAAGGGCTACGAGCCTAAAACATAAATTGACAAACTGTATAAATAGTTAAAGAATGAAATAAAACTATGTCATAAAATTAAAAACGTAAAATATAATTTGACAATCAGAAGGTGAACAAAACAAATTGTCACTATTGTTAGTATTTAAATACATATAATTTGATAAACATATTCGTTATTCAAAGCTAAAATCAAACGGAAATCAAGCGAAAACCAAACGATTATCTTATTTTAGGGATTAGTTTATTTTAGGGAAACATCGGAACCATAGAAGAAATCGTTAACAAAAATAGTAAATCTAAAAGTTAAGCAAAATATTGATATATCCCAAAAATTAAAACAACAGAAACTGTATTGTTAGTAAGTAAAAAGGAAAAAGGGCTACGAGCCTAAAACATAAATTGACAAACTGTATAAATAGTTAAAGAATGAAATAAAACTATGTCATAAAATTAAAAACGTAAAATATAATTTGACAATCAGAAGGTGAACAAAACAAATTGTCACTATTGTTAGTATTTAAATACATATAATTTGATAAACATATTCGTTATTCAAAGCTAAAATCAAACGGAAATCAAGCGAAAACCAAACGATTATCAAATTCTTCATCGTTCATCAATCACTCGATAATTCAAGTTGTACGTGTTTAAGTATAACAATTAATGCAGTGCTTGCAATCGCTCAATTCCCAGGATGCTTTGATATCTTACTTAATAATTTGTTATCAATAAATAAGTATTAGATTCACCGACTTTTATATGTGTGCGATTTCTCCTATGTTCCTAATATTTCCCCAAGATAAGATGAACATCACTTAATTCCTTAAATATAAACTTTTAATATAATATATTAGGTGTTGGAATTAATTCGTAGCGTTTTTAATGAAAGAATGTTATTTATTTCACATGAGCATTAAAAAATACATTAATGAAAGTACTTCCCATCACTTGTAAAACGCTACGAATTAATTCCAACACCTAATATAATTTCGTACATCTCTCTTTCTCATTTATTCGAAAAAAAACAGTAACCTAACTTAATATCCCCCTTTCCGAAAGTTGAACAATGTTGATTATTCAGGGCTGTGTCGAGGGTGGATCTTTCGGCGGCGGTCGCCTGCAGCAGCAGCAACACCAGTCTCTCCGCCATAGGCAGATCGAGTGCGTTCTCTAGTAGCAATTGGCGACTGACCGCCGGTTCCGCGCCGAACAAGCCGAGACCGACGCCGCCGGTCTCGCCCAACACCTGGGCCCGAACGA